CAAGAAGGTATAGCATACAAAATCTATTGCACAGATTATTTTTGAGTTAGTGTTGGATCATACTTGATCCATGTGTTTTCTGCTAATGCCTTAGCAGTCATAAACTGCATGTTGTAAATGTGACATTCAGGCATGTTTTCTCTGCATTTGGTGTGTAGGAAGCAAGAAGGGATGTTTGGTTTCGGCGGTTGTTTGTCTTCTTTTGATACACTAGCATGCCTTTTGTCCTGGACCTCTTAGGATGACAAAGCTCCATTTTCAGACCAGCTGCCTCTTCTGTAGTGCCAAGATGTACCATCATCACACATAAACAACAAGCATGGCCTTTATGCTGTCGTGCACACGTTCATGGGCTTGCAGTATTCACAGCAATGTTTATCAAAAGCCTGCGTTCAGTTATATAAAAATGTAAAAATTCAGAAAAAAAAAAAAAAAACCCACAATGAACTACTTGATATAGAAAAGTCTATGCAACAATCCTGAAGTTATAATGATTCCTTCTTGAGGTATTCATTTTAGGGCCCTTTGGATTGGATTGCTGTGGGATGGGAGTGCATGCTTGCTAACAGTTACATTGGAATTTCTGCAAAAAAAGAACAAATTGCTTTGGCTTTGTCCAAAACCACAGCTGTAACTTGAGCAAAACTGAGGTCACAGAATGACTATTTTATATGTACTTATATTTTTTTCCAACCCACTCTCCCAATCGTTAATTACATTAGATGAGTACATCTTAAATGGAATGATATCATTATTAGTACATTTTATAGGGTTGTGGTACACACTCAAAAAAATGAATTATGGCTTTAGTTGGTCCAAAGAATGTAACTATGTTTAAATTAAACAATCCGCTTATGTTTGTGTATTAAAAATAAAAGCGTTGTGTTGGAAAAAAATTGAAAAAGTAAGTTTTCACATTTAAACAGCTTGCTTAATTAACATGAATGAAAGGGAGTTGTGTTGCTTCTGTAGTACTGCATTTTGGTCAATAGGTGGAGTAATATCTGCACATGCGCAGTTTCAAAACAACACAGGAAGTAAAAAGATTCAAACCACAACGGTCACTCTCAGCTCGGCGCCATATTATGGGAATCAAAAGATGAAGATTACAGTACAAATTGAGAACGTGCACAAAGCTTTCCCCAATGTGGACACACAGGTGAGATTTTTTTTACTTTTTATGTATTTATACTGAGGCTGTGACAACATTAGAATCATAAATGTACTCTCTTGTAATACTATGTTGTGTTTGTGTATAGTATTGCTATGAAATTGCCATGTTCCCTGTGTCTTTTCCACATTATAGACAGATAAATGTATAGTGTGTTTTGCATTCCTGTGAAATGTTATACTTGGTATATATTAACTCCCCCCAAATAAAGTAATGAATAGTCATGTTAGAATAGTCTAAGCTTTTCACTCATCATAGCACACGTGCTGCTGATAATGTGACAATAAAAGTGATTTGATTTTTTATTTGATTTGATGGTCTTTATTTTAAATGAGTGTCTAGCAGTTTGTCGAGTTTGAATGCTAGTTTTGATAACTTACATAATATTAATTAAAATGTGGTGTTGGCACATTGTTATATATTATCTAATTGTATTATTTAAGCCTGTTAACTTAAAAAAAATCAGCAAAAATGCATTTGTGACACCTAAATAGGATGACATCTAGCATGATGACATATTTAATGAAAGCTTATTTGGTCATCTAACACGTTTTAATTTTTAAGTTTAGTAGTTTGCTATTTATATTATTATATTTTATTATTTTAAATCTTGGCTCACTCACATCTATTTTCTCCCTCACAGGTTTACAGCTCAACCTCTAAAGTCCCATATCTGGCTGAGGAGACTGTGGATCATCCAGGTACTATGCCTTTAGATGCCTATACACACATTAAAATGATGTACAGTAAAAATTACTAGTAATTTTAACTAATTATTTAGTAAATTACTAATTGTCATTTCATGTCATTTAGAACATCACCAGTGGAAAAAAAAGGTGTGAATGCATCCTCAAAGCCCCTAAGTGAGGGGGTACATGGTAAGCTATTTTATTTTATTTTTTTAAACATTTTGTATTTTCCTCTTAAACCAAATCCTCCTTTCACCTTTGATCTGTTGGTAAATGTTTTATTTTTTTACCTGACTTTTTTAGGATGCTGGGCATGATGAAGCGCAAACCTTGATGTGCAACACCACCTTATGAATCTACAGTAGTTACATTAACATTTAGCAGACTCTTTTGTCTAAAGTGACTTACAATTGAGGACACATTCAGGAAATCAACAAGAAGAGGCGATACACCCAAGATGTGCTAATTATAAAAAAAAAAAAAAAAAAAGAATTAAGAATGCTTCTACATGTGGTTTGTCAAGCCCACACACCTGTGTAAAGCAGACTTCATGCACAATGTTTTGTTTTTTAGATATAGGGAGTGGTTGTAAGAAAGTGTCTGGTGCAAATGTACATAAATGGTGCAAGTGTCAGAGAGATGAATGTGTGTAGCTATTGCATGTTCTGTGATGGTTGGTCTAATTTATGGTGTAGTGCTGATCGTGTTACTTTGCTTTAAAATGTTAATCTTTCTTTGAACAACTGAGGTGTTATCTGCTTTTACAGTGTAAAAAAGGTACAGTATAGTTTACAAAAGAAGACTTAATTTTTCTAAGTATATTTTTGATAAATCATTTGAAGGCAGAATATTATTTTTGAATGTTTTTTGTAATATATGAAAAGTATTATTTTGAAAAGTGTATTTTATGATGCTTTTGTAAGCATATTTTTGTAAATCATTTAGTGTTTTTAATTTACTTCATACTTGTATTACTATTATTTTAATAGTATTAATATTTTAACTTATTGTAATAAGTGAAGATACAGATTAAGACAGTATTTGGATTTTGATAATCATTTTATTGCTGGAAAATATGTAAAACTGTAAAAATGCTATTGAATAAACTCAATGAAACGGAAACTGTTTTTTTTATTTGGTTAAACATAACAATATCAATTTTAGAATAATTGAACTTAAATAACTACATTGATTAAAGCTAAATTATAAATGTTACGTTGATTGAACTAAACAACATTACATTACCTTTATGTAACTAACTTAAGTTCACTAAAATTAATATTCTTTCTTAAAGGTATCTTAACTCGGTTACGTGGAACCAGTGGACAAAAAAAAGTTAATTAACATATCATTTTTTTGAGTGCACTTGCTGGAATCAAGATTTTGCATGAAATCAGTCAAATTAACAAAAATGTTGTGCCGTGTATTCATACATATACATTTTATAAATTCATTCATATAAAGTCAGTTGCAAAGTTTTAACATCAGATGAGTTGAGAATTTATTTTTTTAGTAGAATAATGCTTATTTATATTTTCTACAAATGAAACCATTTGTTTGTTTGACTAATCATTCTTTAATTTTTGAAGAAAAAATATCACATATCTTACAATTTCAATAGTCTCCTATTTATGAATGTATATCATTTTTTTTACTTTATTGCTTATAAATATGACTGATTATATCTCATAATATCGTGACTTTATTTTGAATAATTGCTATTTTATTTTTTAAAATTGTGTTTTTGTGTCTCATAATTGCAATTTCATACTTTAATGTGACTTTATTTTTTATTATAACATTTCACTGTCTTCCTCAGCATTATTGGTCTAGATTTTTAAGTAAAAACTGAGACTGTATAATCACAGTATTTGATTCCAAATTATTTATTAATTTTCTTTTCGACTTATTCCCTTTATTAATCTGAAGTCGCAACTGCGGAATGAACCGCCAACTTATCCAGCACACGTTTTACGCAGCGGATGCCCTTCCAGCTGCAACCCGTCTCTGGGAAACATCCATACACACCCACTCACACTCATACACTACGGACAGTTTAATCTACCCAATTCACCTATACCACATGTCTTTAGACTGTGGGGGAAACCGGAGCACCCAGAGGAAACTTGCGTCGCCCGATTCTAAATTATATGACACTAAAAATACCTCAAAGTGATAGTTCACCCAAAATGTTGTATCTAGTCATCATGGCTAAATAAGCCAGTCACAATAATCAATATATCGATTTATCGCACAACACATGGACATGAGCTCAGTCATTTTTGGTGATGCAATATATAATGCCCATACATAAAAACTGATTCTAGCAACATTTTAGCTGATTGTGCAGCCTCTCTATTTCTATTGGAGGTATCAGTATCAAGATGGTTTTAAAAAACACTATAGTATATAAATTACTATAAAGTGGGTGTCTGATGAAAGAAAATTGATCTGGTAGCAGATATTGCAGCCTCTGTTACATTTTATCTTGCACATTTTTGTTAGCATTTAGTATTATGTATGTATTTATTTATTTTTATTTGATTCCAAAGCCTAATTATTAAATAGCTAAAATGTCTATAATTAAATGAAATAATCCTAAGAATAAAATATTATGTGTTTTTTTGGAAAAGTGTACATTGTGATGATATTATATTGTCATTCTGCCATTATATAAGGAGTGGCATAAAATGGTCTTAAAACGATAATAATATTGTTCATCACAATATATTTTGGTGCAATATATCGTACAACAAAAAATGGATATTGTGACATCACTAAATTATCATTTAATCACCCTTTATTTGTTCCAATTCTGTTTGCGTTTCTTCTTCTTCTGTTGAACACACAAAAAAAAGATACTTTGAAGAAAGCTGAAAACCAGTAACCATTGACTTCCATATTATTTGGTTTTCTTTCTATAGAATTCAATGGTTACAGGTTTTCAGCTTCCTTCACAATATCTTATTTTGTGTTCAACAGAAGAAAGGTTTACATGATCGCTTTAACGATTGGTTTTAGAATAATTGCATAATTATCATAACTACATACCATTATTTACACAGAAAACCTGTAAAAAAAAACATTAAATAAATAAACGTTATTCCATCTCATAATACTCTTCTCTTTGCCTTTACCAGGAGAAAGCTACGTATGTGCTTCCAACGAACCTTTTCGTAAAGTGGACTACACCAAGAATGTTAATCCCAACTGGTCAGTCAATGTGAAAACTGGTGCGTCCCGCTCCATGCCATCACTTACCGCCACTAAAAATGAGCTGAGAGAACGAGAGAGCAAAGACTATATTAAGCCCAAGCTGGTGACAGTCATCAGGAGTGGTGTTAAACCGCGTAAGGCTGTTCGAATTCTCCTGAACAAGAAAACGGCTCACTCTTTTGAGCAGGTGCTCACAGACATCACTGACGCCATTAAACTGGACTCCGGGGCCGTGAAGAGACTCTACACTCTGGAAGGCAAACAAGTAAGTGATAAATTAAGAAAAGCCATTTAATGAAATGATTAGAATAAAGGCATTATCTAAAGCCCAAAGGGGGATTTCAAGGGACATCATTAATCTGAATGTTTTGCTGAGTGATTTATGCTCTGGCATTGTCTGCAAACCAAGAAACCACAATAAGCTTATTATTTCTGTGTAGTATCATTGGTGCATCTTTATTTTGAACAACTAGAATGTTTTATTTTTGCTGTATGCTGAATGGTCATGCTGTTTTGTTGTAGTATACACATCTTGAAGGGACTAAGGCAAATCATTTTGTTGTTTTTGCAATTATGGAATGGATGGGATGCATACAGTTGCTTGGATACAGTCAATTAGCAATATTCAAAATGTCTGTCTGGTTAAGCCATGAAAGTTGAAGATTGAATTTGACATGACAGTCCTTCTTCTAACTGAGAGATTTCAACAATATTATAAGATCATCACACTGGAACATGGATATAATAAAAAATAGTCGACCAGATAAAACAGGATGTGTATTATATAATTGCTACTCTTACAATGCAACTTGTTTTGTTTGAGAATGTTGGAGATGGAGCAGGAGTTGACACACTTATCTCAAATTGAGCTAAAAGTTCTACGTGTTGTGCATTCAGAGATTGGTTATCTGAGTTACTGTTGCCTTTCTATCAGCCCAAACCAGTCTGGCCATTCTCCTCTGACCTCTGGCATCAACAAGGCATTTGTGCCCACAGAACTGCCGCTCAATGAGTATTTTCTCTTTTTCAGACCATTCTCCGTGAACCCTAGAGATGGTTGTGTGTGAAAATCCCAGTAGATCAGCAGTTTCTGAAATACTCAGACCAGCCCGTCTGGCACCAACAACCATACCACATTCAAAGTCACTTAAATCACCTTTCTTCCCCTTTCTGATGCTCAGTTTGAACTGCAACAAATCATCTTGATCATGTTTACATGTTTAAATGTGTTGAGTTTCTGCCATGTGATTGGCTGATTAGGCAATGTTGATACCAATGAAAAAAATCTAATTAAATGTAACAAAATACAAAATAAAAAATGCACACACTGTGCATTTGAATAATTAATTGAAATTTTTGAAAATACATTTGAATACATTGAGAATTCATTAGTTTGAACATTTATAGGAAATTTCAATGTATTATATAATATTATATAATTTCTAAGCATTTTCAAATCAAGTCCATTTTTTGCATTTATTTGCAATAGCTTCATATATTCACTATATTCATCAGAATCTTAACCTTGTATTTACCAGTCCAGGATTGTCCTAAAAAAAGTGATGACTCTTTAGTATTTCATCACCTTTAATAAATGTGAACGCTTCATTGATGCATACCTCAAGGGACTCCCAAATAATGATTTAAGCTGTTGTAGTAAAGATAGAGCAGAATTATACACCAGGAGCTGGTAATGACCACCTGAACCCTATTTAATTCTGAATGTGCTTGAGTCAGTCCAGACACAAAATCCAGATGGGGGATGTCTTTAGTCACCTCTGTGGTTATTAAGAGACTGAAATCAGTCACTCCCATTTCATTTATGTGGTTAAGGTTAAACCAATCTAAAGTTCATTCTGAGGACAGTGTTTTACTTTGGCTTTTTCATTCATATTCGTCTGGTTGTCTATTTACTCCACTAGAAGTAATGCTTTGGTATTTACAACATTGTCTGACAAAGACAATTGGCAGTAACTGATTTTTGTATTTATGTGGTGACAAGAGACATTGAACATTCAGCCAGGTCTTTCAAACAGAGACAGTATTCAAGAGTGCATCCTATTGTTTTTACATTCTCTTTCATTTAAAAGTATCATTTAATTTCCAGTCTATGTGATCCTTTGTGTTTGAAGCGTTTGAAACAGCATCGTTTAAAATCTAATGAAGAATATGTATTGCTTTCTGTGGAACACTAAGAAAAAAGTTCTGTGGAATTATATCATATGAATATAGAAATCATATGAGGGCAAGGGTCTTGTTATCTTCTGTTCTCTTTCGAAAAAGCTAGGGTAAAACGTCTGGTGGATATCTGAGGATGTCATTAGGGATTCTACTCACTGCGGGTGAATTGTATGCCTCTCGGCCAGTGTGAATCTCTTTGGAATTTAGTGAGAGAACTCATGTGCATATTGAAAGTCTGCCCTGGCTTAATTATGCAAAACTGCCTCCAAGAAGTGCTTGGCAAAGGTGAATGTAGAATTATTATGGTAATGTCTTAGGCTGGTTTTGTATGAGGAAAAATGCAAAGAAAGTAGTTGAAATAAGTCCCTCACCACATTTTTTGTTATCTAGATATGTGTTATTGGTGGTCTTTTTGACACTATTTGTCTTAATCAGCAGATTCCCCCCTTACAAAAGCCCTTATGTGTCTAGCAGGGCTCTGTTTTAGGTTCTTTTCACGTTTATATGTGCATAAGTTTTATTTTGCTTACCACTGGAATTACATACAAGTGTAAAAATTGCATGTTTCAGCTGTCTAAATTGAACATAACTTGCAGTTGGATATCTTAAAATATGACAGTGCCGTAGATTTGTCTCAAGATGCACACTGATATTATGCTTTTCTGTATAATATTTATAAAAGCTGTTTAAATATCCTAATTCAGTGGTTCTTAAACTGTGGTACGCGGCAGGGATGTGCAATTTGGGGAAAACATCTATTGCGATTTGATTTGCAATTTAATTTTGCTGTCCAGCTTCAGGTCAATAATCTGTTGTGGCAACAATTCTGCGACAGCTCTTAAAAATGACCTGTTTTTGTTTGGTGTCTGACTTTGAAACCAAAATATTTCTGTATTACCAATGTCCTGTTTTTCTTTGATATTAATTTGTCTATTAATGCTTCTGAAGCAGAAGACACAATTATCCCAAGTGTACGAGCTTTCCTGTTTGTTTGTTTTTTTTATTTTTATTTTTTTATTGTTTTCGTTCTGTATAGTTAATTTGAGCAAATCTTATTGTGCAGAACGAAAGTGTCCTCACTCAATTGGCTAGTAAGACTATCACACACAGATGGCAGTCACGCCTTTGCTCTGGGTGGGGAAAATTAAATAATACAAATATATTTCATATCACAGCCTCTTGCGATTAGCTAATCACAACGTTTCAAATTGCGATTGCGATTTAATTGCGATTAATCACACAGCCCTAGTATGTGGGCTTCCTTCTAGTGGTACGTAGGGGAATCGCTGAATAACAAAATAAAATCTACACAACAATAACCTTGATGTGATCAGACAGCATTGTTTGTTTCCTGAAGCGTACGTTCACTCCTGTGTGCTTAGAATGTTATGGAACAAAATCAATGCCTAAAGTCTTGAATTAAAAAGCTTGTTGAATATCACAAACTGAAAAAAATAATACACCGTATTAACAAGTTCTTGCATTTTAATGACTTGAATTCCAGGGTTTGTATTTTTAGGTCCTGAAATTTAACATATCTGTATGTTTAAGCTTTGAATATTTCAACGAAAAATATTTCAAACACGTTTTCATACTTTAAAATTCAATAATTCATATTCAATTTTCAGATTTCACTTACAAAATATTCAATACCCTTTAAAAATACGATGTATAATATTCAAAAGGTAATTTTCAGTTCATTTTATTTCAGTTCAAATATTCGCTTCCATAAATTCAGTGGATCAAATTCGACTGATAAAATTCAACATTACATCCGGGAACTGCAGGATAAGCAATAGATTGCAGATTGAAGATCGCCAGCTGCTCTAGCTTTCACCAGCAGGTGGAGATGGAATAATGTAAGATTTTTAACCCAGTAAACAGGCGAGAAAAAGGCTATTAAAGGCACAAAAGTAGCATTTAATATTAATATCAATGCTTTGGACATTATAAATGATAAAAAAGTATGAGTAAAATGAGTAAATGAGGTTTTAGTCATCTATATTTGCCCTTATGTAACGGAAGTCAGCTGGTGATCGCGTAAAGCTCAGTTCTCGGATCCAGGGACAGACGTTGTTCTGCAGTCTTATCGGAGCTTGTCTCCCATGCCGGCTCGCTCCCTGCTCGGACCGGTGCAGTTACTTGCACATAAACCGTCTTTTGATGAATATGATGTTACACATTGTCTATCATTATTGACTCTTTCTTCCATAGACGCGAAGATTATATTGACAGCTAAAGAATATAAACGTAAGAGAAACAGGAGAGGAAATATTATAATAATACAACATAGATAAACATTGACAGGGCTAAGAACAATTACGAACAAAGATATTCAAAAGCAGAGAGATTTTATGAGAATGTCACACAAAACAGTTTACTTGGAAATGTTAAACAGTGTTCAGGTATGATTTAAGGTTGGTTATGGATGGGGCGTGTAATTTAAAATAATTTAACAAAACGTGCGAATGCATTAAAGGAGCGTCTTCAGTTATTATTTAAACGCAGCTATGTCAAGATTGGGATAGATTATATAATTTCATTATTTAAATTATGATTGTTAATATTAATATTTTATGACATGTATTTGGGCTATTGCGCTTAAATAAGTCATCCGTGATTCTAAATTAATATTTCTATTTATCCTTTTTATCACTCTGCCTGTCTTTTTCTTCTTTTTTTCTAATTTTTGGGGTTCTGCCACGGTTAAACGTTTGCAAAATGTCTTAGTTTGTTCAGAATATTGTTTTATTGTTATGTAGCCTATAGACGAGAAATGTATTAACGCAAATGGCAATGTCGCAGCCAATTAAGTAATAAAATGAGTTGCCTGTGGTTTGATAATAGGCAGTTATAACTGACTTTAATTTGTTTTCAGTATTAAATGAGAAAACCATTATTTATAAATTTTCAGCAACCGTTTGTATTTTATGATTAGCAATGCTGATCTTTTTTGCAGTTATTAAACATATAAACTTATTTAAACTGGTTTAAATTTAATATAGTTGTCACTTGAGCCTGTTTCATAAGATTAATGTTTAGAATGCGTGGTTTGACATGCGTGGTTGAGGGGTTCCTGCAAAG